ACATACATACATACATACATACATACATACATACATACATACATACATACATACATACATACATACATACATACATACATACATACATACAATATATATGTGTGTGTGTGTGTGTGTGTTATATAAAATTGATTATTTGACCACAATATTAAAAACCAATATTCAAACAATATATTGGAATTGCATTTCCTCTTGAAAAATAAGTAATTTTTATTATCTCATAAAATAAATAATAAAAAATATAAATATAAATTTTTATAGAAAAATTTGGACATGCATTAATATTATATATTCTTCATATTAAACAAAAATATGTTTAAAAAATAAGAATTATTGTTAGTAAATATAGAAATGGCTAAAATACAAAGAAAAAAATGAATTAATGTCTTAATCATAGTCCATTTTTCTGGTTAAATAGGTTAATGGTTCAATCAGTAAGGTCATTTGGTTGACTATTATCATCATCATCATTTGATATTGCCATGTTCAACGCATGTACACATTTACTAGTAAATATAGAATACCAAAAAATCAAACTGGCCAAAAACTGAAACCAATCAATTGGTGGTATCTATTCGGGAAAATGCAAAAATCAATAAGACCGGTTCAATTTCAAAAAGTTGTCATGGTTAGGTTAACCAAATCATAAGCACCCCTAACTGATACAAACCAAAATTCTTTTTGGGTGTTTCAGAGGTGTAATGTGGGGACCCACTGTTGTGGGCTGCCCACAGTATAATGGGCCATGCCAGGCTGGCACGTGGGTTTGGGCGAACCATGCCTGACTGGCCCGAAACCCTTCAAAAGGGAAGCTTGGCACAGCCATGGCACGAATCCAAATGAACCTGTTCTGGGCCATGGGTGGTACGAGTTTTTTTTTTAATTGAAAAAATAAAAAAGGTAAACAAATTAACAATATTCAAAATAATCTTAAAATTTTATTCTCTATATATTATGCTGTGCCATGTTGGCCCATGCGGCTTAAAACCCAAACCCGGCACGGCACAGTTCGGTTGCTACAGTAACCAGGCCGTGGCCCATATCATGCCGGGACGTGCCGGCCCATTTTAATTTCTAGGGTTTTTGGCAACGCTTTCCATCTTATCGTGTCACACCAGTCATGGCTTGAACTGTGAAATAGAAAAATTTTATAATTTCTATGACTTTAAATTTTTGAGCCAATGATTTTCCAATGGTTTATTCAATGAAAGCTTCTGCATTTCATAGCTGGGATTTTCCATGTTTGTAGTTTAATTTTGCCACGTGTTGTATATTTAGAGCAACATGATCCACCAGTAGCCTAAGCCAAAATCAGCATGATCTGATGATTTCATATCATGTAATTTATGCATTAAATAACAGCTTTTGAGAGTTTAAGATAGACAGTTGCGGTGTAATGGTGGAATCTGGATACTAGGGTGTTACCCAAATCAATTAAATTTTACATTTAATGAAAAATTAAACATCCAAATAGAAGTTATCTAATTCCAATTTATTTTATTTTATTTTTTTATTTTTAATCCCATTTTCGTTGAGGCAATTAGAAGGGAAAAAATGCTAAAAAATTAGTAAGAACAGAATGTTACTTTCCTACATAACTTAGGCTCAAAGTATTGGTATCACAAAAAATAGAACAAGAGAATTTTATGATACATATTGAAATATGATTTTCTTTTACGCTAATATCGAAATATGGTTAGATTATGAATGAATAAGATGAAATTATTAGGATACATGCGAAGATATAAGAACTTGCATATGACCCCACAAATTTATCAATATCACTAAATATAAGGTTAAAATAACTTAAACCCAATATATCTTCATATTTACATATATAAATATCATATAAATATGTAGTATTTATATTATATGTTTATATATGTATATATACATGCATCAATAATTTAATGTTTATAGGCAAAGATTTTTTTCAGTGTAATAATAGTATGGTACTTTTAAAGTTCCATAACATTGTCCCATATATGGTTAACCTTGAATGGCCAATTTTTTTTGATACATTAGAAAATTAAACCGAACCGGATGAGATACTCTGTAGTATCTGTGAGTGTGATGTAGTCCAGCTCCTTCAATCAAAATGGTGGTATCAAATCTGTGAGTGAATGGTAAATCTTAAGTTTAGGGTTTGATTATGATGCCAGAAAAACATGATACTTGAAAAACTTATAGCGAATCACTTGGCATCTTAAGAGTGGTAACCAATCAGGTGGTTTTTGTCAAAATTTATGAGGGGTTTTGATTGATCAAATTCTTTTTTGCATCATAATTTTTCTTCCAAGTAATGAGAACATTCTTTCTTCATAGAACAAAAGAAGTAAAAAAATTGGGCCAACTCGAACCAATCTGAAGTTAGCATGTTAGGGTTCAATAACTCGGGTTAAGTTAGTGTTGAGTTGACACCAGTACAACCTGACCTGGCCTGACTTGCACCCTATTTTTGAACTTTGTCTATCACATTGACATTATCTAGTTGTAGAAAACTGTCTACTTATGACACTCTACATCAACCTTGTATCACATTGGTGGTTTACCTCCTTAATATCAGCATTAGCACAAGCAAGGTTCAAAATTTTGATATGATACACCCCATATCAGACATATCGTATTGTATTGGACATTTTACGAGACACTTATTTACAGGTGTTTCGGGAACTGGCCTCTATTTAATGCAAAATATGGTTAAAAATAGGCTCAAAAACCAAATATTAAAAAAAAAACTAAAATATATATAAAAGTGTGCCATTTTAAGTATCAGGGCATATCAATATTTTGAAACTTAAGCACAAAGCAGAAGAAACCTTCTCCTCAAACCAATGGGTCCACCCATGTTGTCATCATTACAAAAAAAAAAAAAAAATTATGACGATGCAAAAAACCCATGACCCTTTAAATGAGTCACACAAGTCGATGAGTCATGGATGACGGATCAAGTCAATGGTTTTTGTAATAGAAGGTCAACTTACAACCTGACCCAAACCAGGATAATGACCAAGCTACCGGTCCAACCATCCAAATGAACACTTACGAGCTATGATACAAAGGGCAGCATCAAATTACTGGCAATTGCATCTTATACAGCAATCAAGCAATCGACAATGTCACCAAAACCAATAAAATATTAATATTCATTGAGTGCCACCCACTTCTATCTCTTGGAGTTTCTAATCATTTTGAATGCAATTATTCCAGGCATGCACTGAAGAAAGTAATGAATCTCAATCAGAATTGAGCCACACGAGACCTCAGAATTCCGCCAACCAGACTCGAGACAGACTAGGCAGTTGCAAGAATAAAATCACCAAACATTCATTGGTTTACAAACTCAAAGCATTGACTTGTTCCATGTCACACAACTTCTCTAGACTTTCGACAACACTTCAACGTAATGTACAATTTCTCTGCATAGAACGACTGCAGATAAATAATTGATAATGCCTGAGTAAGTAAGTTGGACAATGGCCTCAACATTCAAGATATTTCCCTGCTTCTCAGTAACTGCATGGGCTATCAGGAAAGGTGTTAGATACTCCAAACTCATGGAACTGATGCTTGCAGTATTGATGGGCTGGTCATTCAAATCATTGGAACTTGTGCTTTCTGAAGCTGGGGGTAGATTATCTTCTGTGGAAGGACTAGCACCACCTCCTATATCATCCTTCTGAGAGTCATCTGCATCTTCTCTTCGATCATTCTTTTCACTAGGACTTCCACCACTATCACCCCTTGGTGTGCCTGGAACCAAGTCTGGCCTAGCTTCAACTCCAACCCGTCTTAGGTGTAGCTGCCAAATTCCAACTTAAAGTTAAGAAACATATCCATTGTCAAATATGAAACAAGGACAGAATTAAATTATAGCAGTTATACACTGTACCTGGAGATGTAGGTTAACTTCATCTGGACGTGAAAGAAAAGGAAAATCACCCCCAGTCTTCAAGTATGCTTGTCTTGCCTCAGGATATCTTTCACGTATTTGATCTTTTAATTGTTGGGGAATGGCACAGTAGTCATTTGTCTACAGTAGAAAGAATGATCCAGTAATTGATGCAGGAGCAAGCATGTCAAAACTGAAACTTTGATATTTTTGTACTTTTAGATACTAAGTATATTTTGCTCATCTTATATTGTTACCTATGGGTGTAGCCTTGTGACTTGATTTGTCTTTTTATTCTTTTTGATAGATATGGTGACTTGATTTGTTTACCCATGGTTTTGTTGTGTTTGCAATTTCACAATCATTGGTTAAGTGTTTTAGGAATAATTGAGTTTTCTTTGAGTCAGTATATATATTAGTTAAACTTACAGCATATTGTGCTTATGGGGAGTCATTCTTATAAACCCTATGGTTATTCCAGGTGGCCATCTAGTGATTCTGGGTTTCCTCTCTCTATATAAAACCCTGGATTTTGAGACTTCTGGTTTTCTTACAAGAGAATTTGGTCATTTTGTGGAAACTTGCTTAGTATGCCTTCAAATTAGATTTTACCACATACAATCCATCATTATAAACACCTATTTTTATTGAAATGTTCCACTTCTACATGTTTATTTTGATTTTTTTTTAATTTTTTTATGTTTACAAGAAAACTGTGCAAACTTGAGCGATTTGATCCAAATTCTTTCCAACCCCACATAGTCCTTACTTTTAGTCATTAAATCATCTCTAAACCCTATTATAGCCAATCAATACCTTCCTAAACTCACCCTTCAATCCAAGGTTTGAAGTATCGATACACCCCAATATGCCAGCAGGGGTGTACCAATACTTTTTACCCCATGCTTTTTTATTTTTTAGTTTTCTTTTTTTAATTTCAGTTTTACATATATTTTAATATTGTTTAATAATTAAAAAACATTGATTTCCTGAAACTTTAAATAGGTGTATTGGAAACCCAAAGATACGATAAAATCATCCCTAAACCCTATCCAAGCCAATCAATAACTTCCTATTCTCACCCTCCGAATATAGTTATCTTAAACCATTTGGTATCATAGTAGTCGATCCTACATACAGTTTGGTATCAGAACAGTTGATCCTACATCAGTTGTTGAAACAACCAACAAGAACATCCAAATATCTGTTCTTTGGATTCCAGTCAAAATCTCATACAAAAATAATCCACAAGAATTGCTAAAATAGGCCAAGAACTACAATACTTTAACATACCAGTTTCAAGATACAAACAACAAAACAAAACTGGATCAAGAGTAGAAAATCAAACTAATAACTACAGCCTTAGTCTACCCAGAATCATTTGATTAATTACTACTAACTGGATCCACAAATTAGTAAAAAAAGGGCAAATTTCTTGAACTATCCTTATGGTTTAGCTAATTGACTAACTCTACCCCTACTGTTTACATGTTGTCTTAAAGTACCCCTACTGTTTCTGACAATTGACATCGTCATTAAGTGCTAACAGAAAACAAAATATCGAATTTGCCCTCCAAGATGGAGTTTCTCCTCTGATAAAAAAAATTCAAGAACCTTAAGAGAATCTAAGGAAGGAGAGAGAAGGTGGTCCTATTGGCTCCACGAAAACACGATAATGGATTCTCCTGAAACCTGAGTTGTGCAGGGCCAGGGATAAAACTTGGATTGTTTCTTCATGGAGGCCATGGTGAAACCTGAGTTGTGCAGGGAAGGATGAACCTCCAAAAGGATCAGATTTGTAAAGTAGAGAGGAGGGGGAGGGCGGTAGAGATATGGAAGGTGGGTTCTGGTTTGGTTCTCAGTTGTGGCTTGATATCATTTACGATTACAACTACAACTGAAAGCACATCAACAAAAAGAAACTCATCTGATATGGAAAAATAATGGAGGCAGCGATGAAGTTTCAGGAGAGAGAATATGAGAATCCAGGTTTACTTCACCCTTCTCAGGGACCTGCCTCCTTGTCTCAATAACCTGTAAAAATCAAATGCTTGGTGAGCATTCATCACTCAGTTCCACTTCCATCATCAGTTCCACTCTGGTTTCAGGCGAGTTGCAGCAGTAACTGTTGCAGGTAATGGAGTTTCTCCTCTCCGTCTCTGACCGTTGCAAGTTCCCTGCTGAATTTCAAAACTTCACTGGAGAGAGAGAGGGAGAGCTACCGAAAACACCCCAGAACCGGAAAAGGTTTCAACGATAAATCAATGCTGGTAATGGAAATGGTATTACTGTCATTTTCTCAAAATATAACAGTCACGTGGTGTGGCATGTGAGCGGATTGTGATGGAACCCTAATGGCAGGGGAGTAATTAGTCAATTGTCAGAAAACTTGGGGGTACCTTTAAGATGATATATAAACAGTAAGGGTAAAGTTAGTCAATTAGCTAAACCATAAGGGTAGTTTAAGAAATTTGCCCTAAAAAATCAATTCCATATACTCATCGACTCTAACCACCCTGTGCCTAAAAAAAATGAAACTAGCCACCAGTAACTGAGATTTCAATTACTGCCCAGGGAAATTTTAGAAACTGGAATCTAACCATCAGCCAATGACTAGATCTACTAAAATTTAAGCATCATCCACCAAACACATTAATACTAGTTTAGAGATGCAATGCATTGTCACTAAAGAGATCTGAGCCATCTTCCATTCTGGCAAGGATCCAAGGTGGATTGGGAAGATTTCTCATTTGAGGGCAGTAAAGATTGCTTCACTTGTGTAGAGGAAAGCACAAGAGATCCATTTGCTTTCAGTTGGCAGTAACTAAAGAAGAGAATACCCATGCCACCAATATGAAAGAAATAAATGATACAGCTAAAAGCTAACAGCAAAAAATAACATCAATAATAAATAAACCAGTGGGACCACAAACTAATCAGCCCCTTCTCTACACTCCCCCTCAACTTGGGAATAGACATTTGTTATTCCAAACTTGTGTAAATCTGCCTCTAACTTAACTTTGGAGACTGTTTTGGTCAAGAGATCAGCAAGTTGCATATCAGAGGCTACATAGGGAAGACATACTTCTTGAGAAGCAACTCTCTCTCTCTCTCTAATGAAATGTCGGTCCACTTTAATATGTTTTGTTTTACCATGCTGTATTGGGTTATGAGCAATGCCGATGGCAGCTTGATTATCACAATACAACATCAATGATCTTTCATACTCAATTCCCCATTCTTCAAGTAGTGATCTCAACCATAACACTTAAGCAACACCATTAGCCATAGACATATACTCTGCTTTAGCATTGGAGTGAGCAACAACATTTTGTTTCTTGCTCCTCCAAGAAACAAGATTTCCTCCAACAAGAGTATAGTATCCTGAAGTAGATCTCCTGTCATCAATACATCCTACCCAATCTGATCAGTATATACTTCTATCTTCATATGACCATTATTCTTAAAGAATATACCTCGACCTGGACACCTCTTCAAGTAGGCTAGTGTTCTTTCAACAGCAAGGAGATGAGTTGTCTTGGGAGAGTGCATATACTGACTAACAACACTGATTACATAAGAGACGTCAGGACGTGTTAGGCAAAGATAAAAAAGGTTTTCCACAAGCCGTTGATGCATACCTTTATCTTCAAGAGGCTCACCTCCTTCCACACTTATCTTACGATTTTGCTTAATAGGTGTGTTAGCAGGTTTAACCCCCAATTTTCCAATTTCCTCTAGGAGATCAAGGACATATTTTCTCTAGGAGATAAAAATGCCATGCTTGGACCTTGCTACTTCAATTCCCAAGAAATATCACAACTCAACTAGATCCTTCACTTCAAACTCTTGACTAAGTAAATACGTAAGGCAATTAATTTCATCATTATCAGTCCCTGTCACCACAATATCAACATACACATTTAAGAGAGTTAAAGTAGAGCTTGCCTTCTTAATAAAGAGAGTGTGATCAGACTGAGCTTGTACATAGCCAATTTTTTCCCAAGCAAGTCTAAATTTGTCAAACCATGCTCTTGGAGATTGCTTTAGACCATATAAAACTTTCTTCATCTAGCAAACTTTCTTACCAGCATTAATTTTGTCAACTCCATTAAGAAAAGCATTCTTAATATCCATTTGGAACAACGACCATGAGAAATTTGCAACAAGAGACAACAAAAACTCTAATGGTATTAATTTTAGCAACTGGTGCAAAGGTTTCCAAGCAATCAATACCATAAGTCTATGTGTACCCCTTTAGCAACAAATCGAGCCTTGTATCTTTCAACTGAACCATCAACATTGTACTTTATTATGAATACCCATCTACACCCAATGGGTTTCTTCCCTCTTGGTTGATCCACTAATTCCCAAGTATCATTTTTCACAAGGGCATCCATCTTAACCTTCATTTTTTCCTTCACTCAGGCACAACCAGGGCTTCTTGCACTATTCTAGGAATAGATATGGCAGCAATGGAAGCCAAAAAGGACTTGTATGATGATGAAAGGTGGTTATAGAAAAGGACATGGGAGATGTAATAGGCGGTAGAAGAGGTGCAACGACGCTTCCCTTTACGTAACACAATAGGAAGATCAAAATCATTTGAGGGAAGTTGAGGCTCAGTGATGGTAGTAGGTATGTTATCTGTAGTAATAGTGGGTAAATGGAGTGTAGTACCTGAATCTAGTGTTGTGGAGGGGACTTGAATTGGCCTGGACTATTCATTACCGGAACCAACCTGCCTCCACCATCATTTGTGAACAATTCTTTGCACTTTTGGTAATTCCCATCATCACACTCCCCTTCATTAACAGGAATAGGCAATGGGACTTCCTGAGCAAAAATACCCTGCTCACTACTCTCCCCTTGAGGTGGAACTTTAGGATAATAAGGAACATCCTCAAAGAAGGTAACATCCATGGGCACAAAAGGAGTTCCAGAAACAAGATCATAACAGCAATGCCCCTTTTGATTTTATGCATACCCAAGAAAAATACATTTTGTTGCCTTAGGATCAAATTTAGAACAGATAAGCCCAAGTATTTGAACAAAGCAAGTGCACCCAAAGGTCTTTAGAGGAATAATAAACTAGTCCTTATTAGGATACAACAGGTTAAAATGAGCTTTCATGTCTAAAA